TTCAGTTTTAAGGCCGATACCGATAGGGGGCCGATTATATCGTGCATCCCTAAAAAACACCTACAACAACTGGTGAGTTACTGCAACATATAATTTCTTTCCTTTGGGATTAATAAAGTAAGACTATAATTGAAATGAATTCAACATTTTAAACATCATCAGGAGCAAATTTTTGAATCTTAAGATTTTCTTACCAAAATATGAAGCACAAGATTTACTGACCAAATTGGGGTTTTTCTTACCATTTAAAATGAAGCACTAGATTCATCAACTGAGCTGAAGTACTTGATTAGTTTAGACTGTTACCATGGTGATAATGCTTGGCTAAAATACAGTAGATCTTACATTTTTGACACAGAGATCAGCAACTTGTTGGCCAGATCAATAATCGTAATAAGAAGAGGATCAGCCTTAAGGTGGACATTTCATCAGTGTTTCAGCTGTCATATATAAATAACAGAATTTCTCCAGTGGACTAAAGTGCACTGATGCTGAGTGACAGTGAAACATGCAGCTCTAAAATGACGCTTCAAAGCTGTGGCATCAGGATTTTTCTCCCCTCCACAATAAATGAGCTCTTCCTCCAGTGTTCCAGTTTCAGCGGCTTTAGAGGATCAGGAGGAAACACTCATTCAGATGCATATGCAGCTCTTCTCTGTTTCTGAAAAATAACTTCACCCTTACTTGTCAGGAGTTGTTGTGTCATAAAAACCTGAAAACAACCTCTGCTATTAAACTGAACATTTGTCTTTTGGTCTCAATCCTTTATCAAAGGAGCCATAACCTGGTATTATTTATAAAACTCTAAAAGTGTCTTTAAATTCACTTTTAATCCTTTTTTGGAGAAAAAGAATAGAGATCATTAAAATCTTATGTGTATAAAAACTTATGTGTATGTGTATTTATGTAATTCGGGGGGGTGGTGTTACCATTTGGCAATACTAGGCAGCTACTTAGGGCCCCAAGTTCCTGGGGGCCCCATTAAACTCTCTATATTTGTATGGTTAATACAACTATTCCTTAATTGTGCACATTAATTATGCTTTTTTCTGAACACTTATAATATTAAGTGTGTCCCAGCTCTCCCCCCTTCAGTGTCCACCATATTGGATCAGTCCATTTGCTGCACATGTTCAGAAAGGTCCAAAAAGACAGCAGCAAACCATTTGGAAACAAACCATGCAAAGAGCAGTGTTGCCAACTTAGCGCTTTAGTCGCTATATTTATCGACTTTTCAGTCCGAAGACAGGTCAGGCAAACAGATCAGAAAAGGGGCCGGCAGGTTCAGAGGTCCACTAGTCAGGATCAGGCAATCAGAACAACAAACAGGGTACGCTACAGAACTCTCACCGATGAATCAAATAATCTGGCTCTGATGACTGGGAGCAAGCAGCTTAAATAGAGGAAGGAACAGGTGGATAAGATGCACAGTAATGAGTAACTTGGCGGAGCTTGGCAGGTGAATAGAATGAACCATTAAGCCAGTCATCAGTGCCAAGATCATGAAATGAAGTTGAAAGATTAAAGGTGAGGTATTTCAACAAATTATTAGGAATAAAAACAAGTACAATAAGCTATTTACCAGAAAACTGTACTTTCGAAGCCCTGCTGATAGAAAACAAGCTGGATTTGAAAAAGGTTGCTGATATGATGGAAATCCCATATTGCCTAGATATAGTATGTATGTAACCATATGATAATAATAATAGTAGTACAAATTCAGTAGCTGTTATGGCATCTTCATAAGGGAGTGGTAGCATGGTGGTAAGGGCATAGAGCTTGGAATCCTGAAGTTGTGAGTTCGAAAAACGCCCACAGCCTGCCACTCTGGCTCTCTGAGCAAGATCCTTAACCCCACATTGCTCTCTGGGCGCCGCACAATAGCAGCCCACTGCTCCCCAAGGGCATGGGTTAAATGCAAAAGTAAATTTCTCCAATGTGAGATCAATAAAGGTCATAATTATTATTATTAAAAACACACATAAACTTAAAGGAATAGTACACCCAAAACATGATTAGCCTTCATTTTCTACTCACCCCCATGCTGAACAACACTCTGGAGTACTTTTTTGA